ATCCCCGTGAACCTCTATGGCCCAAAAGGACAAGTTCGCGTATTGGCACTACTAGACGAAGGGTCAACGGTCACACTCTTAGACGCATCAATCGCTGAGAAAATCGGAGTCGAAGGAAAGAAAGAAAAACTCACGATTGAAACCGTCGGCGGAAAGGTGTTAAGAAAAGATAGTTCACAGAAGATCGAGTTCAAAATAAAAGGGGTTCATAGGAAAGAAAAGAGAACTATCGTAGCAAGGACCATCGACGACCTGAAGCTGTCCGAACAATGCATAAACAAGGACACCGTGAGAAACTGTGAGCACCTGAAGGCAATTGAAAATCAACTCCTCTACGTCTCCGAGAGGCCCAAGCTACTGATAGGCCAAGACAATTGGGGACTGATAGTGACAAGAAAACTGAAGAAGGGCAAACCATCAGACCCTGTAGCTTCCCTCACGAACTTAGGGTGGGTGCTACACGGATGTGAAACAGGAACAACTGCCACAGTACACTTCACCCATTATGGCAGAGCGACCACTGGCAAGGAAGAAATAGAAGACCTCGTCCGAGAACACTTCCAATTAGAGTCTCTAGGGATCCAAAATCGTTCACCATCTAACGACAGCGACAGAAGAGCATTAGAAACCCTCGAGAAAACTACCAAGAAACTGCCAAGCGGTCAATATGAAAAAAGAAGATGAACACCTGCCCAACAACTACAATCAAGCTGTTCGACGCCTGGTTAGCATCGAGAAAAAATTGGATCATGATCAAGAAGCAAGAAAGCACTACGAGGAGCAAATCCTGAGTCTAATCGAAAAAGGATACGCAGAGAAGGCTCCAGAAACCTCTAACGAAGGAAGGACATTCTACCTACCCCACTTCGCTGTTGTACACCCAGTCAAGAAGAAGCTAAGAATAGTGTTCGACGCAGCCGCCAAGTACGAAGGAAAGAGCCTCAACGACGCCTTGCTCTCGGGCCCAGACTTGCTACAATCACTATTCGGAGTACTGCTGCGTTTCAGAGAGGGACCAGTAGCCGTCATGGCAGATATAAAAGACATGTTTCTCCGAGTAAAAGTCAGAGAAGACGACCGAGACAGTCTCAGGTTCCTGTGGCGCGGAAACCGAAGAACCGGCAAGCCTGAAGAGTATAGAATGTCTTCAATCATCTTCGGAGCAGCGTCATCACCTGCAACAGCAATATACGTAATGAACAAGAACGCAGAGGAATTTAAGAACACTCATCCTGAAGCAGTGAAAGCAATTAAGAGAAATCACTACATGGACGACTATCTGCAGAGCTTCGCATCTACAACCGAAGCAAAGAAGATATCCAAAGAGGTGAAAGACATTCACGCAAGAGCAAACTTTCATCTGAAGGGATGGGCCAGCAACAACTCGGGGGTAATATCAGAGGTAGAAGACACAAACAAAGAAAACTCCTTACAACTGACCAAAGAAGAGAAGACTCTGGGACTAAGATGGCTGGTGAAAGAAGATGCATTAGCCTTCAACGTCGGGCTACGCAACACGCCGGAAGACCTGCAAGACGGCAGAAGGACTCCAACAAAAAGAGAAGTCACAAGCGCAGCAATGTCCACATTCGATCCAATGGGTTTTGCTACACCAGTTCTAATACAAGGGAAGAAACTAATCCAAGACATCTGGCGAAAGAAAATAGACTGGGATGAACCAATCAACGAACATCAAAAAGAAGCCTGGATGAAATACCTGGAAGAAGTTTCAACATTAACAAGGCTGAAGATCCCGAGATGCGTCTCACCCAAAGGCAGAAAAGGACAGCTACACACGTTCTCCGATGCGAGTGAAGAAGCCTATGCGGCAGTAGTCTACTGGAGAATAGTAGAGCCCGGAGGAAAGGTCCATGTCTCCATGATCGCCGGCAAAGCAAGGGTAACGCCGACGAAACCTGTGTCAATTCCGAGGCTAGAGCTACAAGCGGCCTTACTCGGAAGCAGACTAGCCGCCACAATCGAAGAGGAATCAGAGCTCGACATATCGAAGAAGGTTTACTGGACCGACTCCAGCACAGTACTGCAGTGGATAAAGTCAGAACCAAGGAAGTTCAAAACTTTTGTGGCCAACCGACTCGCCGAGATAGAAGAAAGGTCCAAGCCAGAAGACTGGAGATGGGTGCCAACCAAGGAGAATCCAGCGGACGACGCCACGAGGGGAACCCCAATCGAATTCGACCACAACGCCAGATGGTTCAAAGGCCCGTCATTTCTCCGTCGACCAGAAGAAGAATGGCCATTCCACGACTTCAAGCCAGAAATCGTTATGCCAGAAGAAAAAAGCAAGCAAAAGGTGTTGGCAACAATGGCAGCAGAAGACACTCTACTAAACCTAGAAAGGTTCTCGAGCTGGGAGCGACTGCTGCGCACTACAGCCAGAGTGATCGCCTTTACACACCTACTAAAGAAGAGCCGTAAAGCGACCACCACCGCCGCACGCCAGAAGGATGAGTCCTGGAAACCACAAAAAATCCAGAAGAAAGAAGCACAAACCTTAATCCCGTCGACCAGCAGAAGTAAAAATAAGCGCCTATACTCACCCATAGAAGCGGAACACCTAAAAAAGGCCGAAGAGATATTAATAAAAATAAGCCAGAGCGAGAGTTTTGCATCAGACATAAGAAAACTGAAGTCAGAAAAGCCATTAGAAAATTCGAGTCGCCTCAAGAAAATCGACGTTTAGATTGGAGACCACGGAATAATTAAATTAAGGAGCAGAACAATGAAATTCCACGATCAAAACGGAAGAATAATGAATCCTATCATTTTAGACGAAAAACAAAAAATAACTCGTCTAATAATACAACACTATCACAGGAAATTCCTTCACGGAAACACCGCTACAGTAATGAACGAAATTCGTCAAAGGTTCTGGATCTTGGGTTTAAGAGCAACTCTAAAAGCGGTCGCACACAGCTGTCAATGGTGCAAGACAAAGAAGAGTTCACCAGAGATACCACCAACAGGAGATCTGCCGAGTGAAAGATTGCAGCATCATCAATTTCCGTTCTCCTGCACAGCTGTAGACTACTTCGGGCCGATGCAAGTCACCATCGGAAGAAGGAACGAGAAGCGCTGGGGAGCCTTATTTACCTGTCTCACAACTAGAGCAGTACATTTAGAGCTGGTACCTTCTCTCAGCACCAGCTCAATGATCATGGCACTCCGACGAATGGCAGCCAGAAGAGGAACTCCGAAAACCATATATAGCGACAACGGAACTAATTTCGTCGGAGCGAAAAGGGAATTAGAAGAGGCCGCACAGGAAAAGGGCATCCAGTGGAAGTTCATCCCCCCGGGAGCTCCAAACATGGGAGGCGCCTGGGAGAGGCTCGTACGAACAGTCAAAACGGCTCTAGGAGTAGTCCTCAACGAGAAGAGCCCGCCCGAGGAAGTACTCCATACGCTAATGACTGAGGTTGAACACATCGTCAACTCGAGACCTCTCACCCCGATCAGCATGGACCCAGGAGACGAGGAAAGCCTAACACCGAACCACTTTCTGCTGGGAAGATCATGCGGAGCTATGGCGCCGGGAGAGTTCAGCGACACGGAGCTCATCGGAAAGGCAAGCTGGAGAACCACCCAGAGACTCGCAGACCACTTCTGGAAAAGGTGGATTAAAGATTACTTACCTCTCCTAATGCCAAGGAAACTCGAAGGGAAAGACACCAGAGACCCAAGGGAAGGAGACATCGTGCTAATAGTGGACGCCACATTACCGCGAAACTCATGGCCTCGCGGTGAAATCGTCAAAACCTATCCCGGACCAGACGGAAGAACCAGGGTGCTGGACGTGCGAACATCAGGTGGAATACTTCGCCGTCCAACTCGACGTGTCATCGTGCTGGTGCCAGCGGAGTCGTCGCCTCCAGAGGATGCAGTGCTACGCACCGTGGGGGAGAATGTTAGCGACGACAAAGTGAATTCGAACATTTAATCTTAATTATTTCTTATCAGTGATTTAAAACTAAGTGATAGTATTTAATCTTAATTGTTTCCTATTCGTAAAATAAAGCTAAGTGTAAAGACTGATTAGTGCTGAAAACGGGAAAGTAAATTAAACACTTCTATTCTTATCTTAAAGTAACTTATATGAATCTATTTAATATTATTTAGGTCTGATTAGAACATTAGACGCAAGTATAAGCTTATTTTCTAGTAAGATTTCTTCTATCATAACTTTAAGAGCTATTAACATATAGGTGATTAATGTAATTCTTTTTACTTTAAAGTAATTCAAAAGAAACATTAATATGTCAATTAATCACTATATAATGTCATTTCATTATGAGAAAGATTTAAATTTTATGTAAAAATATTGTATAGATTCTTAAGCATTAATCCTGAAAAAAGTGTTGTACATTCCTACCTCTTGGCGGCGCTACTTGTATGTTCGGCAAAAAATACTATCCTACTCCGGAGCTAAACCGTGAAGCGACCGCGAAGCTATTTTTATTTTTTATAAGTGTAAAATAAAGGTTTATTGAATAATTTAGGTTTAGAATAATAGAAATAAGTTGTATCTATCGCTAGGAATAAATATAAATATTGTAAGATATGTTTTACCACGTTTATTAAGGAAATTGTAAATCTCTCTTAGAAAGGGTTATTCTGTGCTCTGATTGGTCAATAGATTCACTAATGCCGTGTGCGATTTTTTCTTAATTACGATTGGTTACAGCCGCTTATAAAAAAGGGGCGTTTTTCGTGGTAAAACATTCCAAATCCGGCAATGTAATAATAAGGAATCAAGAAATAAAATAAGAAGAAACTCTCAAGAAGTGTTATTTATTGCTCATCTAACTGCTACTGTATGCTCTCCAGTTAACATCCCGCCAGCAAACCCGCTCTATTTTATCGACGCTCCCTTTTACGAGCAGTTACAGACTGATTATTTTAATATTTACCGTGTAGGGCAATCCTGAATGACGGATAATGCAGATTGATTTAGGCGTTCCTTTTGAATTTTTGTTAGCTCAGCTTGCAACCAGAGAATGGTTGAAATGTGTAACAATTTTTCTCAATTTAGTAGTAAGTTGTAAGAGCCATTCTTGAGATTCAACACTTGCTCGAATGCAAAGTTGGATCTGGTGTATAGCACAATTGACATCCTCAAAGCCTGACAATTGCATTGCTTTAAACATGTTAGATCCACGATCACGGACCATGCAATGCACTCTTTCAAGGTGTATGCCCCATTCTTCAAGAATAGTTTGAAATTTTGTTGATATTACGGTACCCGTGTGGCGTTCTTCCATGACTTCGCATTTCAAAATTATATTCTTTTTGTAAAAATCCTCGGAAATTCCATGTGCAGTTAAACTAAGCAATGAAATTCCAGAATGAAGATCAGACCGTATGTCAGTTGTGAAAGATAACTTATCAAATTCTAAAAGTATAACTTTGGTTTTCTTAACCAATCTATTGTCATATGTAAAAGGTACAAACGGTTTGTACCTCGGAAGAGCAGCGTTCATTAATCTGCGAAAGCCTGTACCTTCAACAAAATTGAGTGGTAAGTTTTGGAGAGCAATTATACGATCAATTTGTTGAGATTTGGAATGTGATGAATCCCAATAATCATTAACTTGCAGACTTTGTTGTAGTGTTAATTGTTTTTTTGCAGTTTCAGCCGGTGTTGAATAAACCTACAACCACATAAAATATTATATCAAAATTGGCACTGAAATATGGGCAGACCCTTTAAAAGAGCCTCATTTAGATTTAGCGAGTAGGTAATTTAGTACAGCCCTAGCACGAAGGTACAACGTAAACGAACTTAGAATCCAAAATACTCATCAAAGTGTCTTTAAAATCAATTAATATAAATTTAACGTAAAAAATAATTAATATAAACTTCACGCAAACATAACTGCTGCCTAATTAATTGTACAAATCTAAGTTGTAACAAAGGCATTTAGTTTACATTTTATAAATAAATAGGTATGCAATTCCTTAAATGACCTTTTGTTTTTTAGTTTGCGATGAAAGTTTTACAGTTTCGTCTAACTTCTCAAACTCTTCGGCATGTATCGCTTTAAGATAGCTCTTTAAAGCGGTAGTTGTGCGGTCTTTTCGCGAGTATATTTTGTCACATATTTTACATCTGGCTCCTAAATCGTCAATCTCAACGAAATAATTCCAAACAGGACTTGTTTTTGGCTTCATGATTGCACGTTAGTTACACACACGATTTAAATTACTAATAAACTAAAAGAAACAATAACAGAAAATCTTACGCACTTAAACTCACGTCACGGCGTATAATGAATTTAAAATATGTAAACAGAAGCGTTGGAACAAGTGCCGAAAGCATGGACCAGCTCTGTTGTGATTGGCTGAAACGCCCGCTCTTTTACGCACTCAACTTTCAAACGATTCACGCGTACCTCGTCCACTGCGTCGCTGAGTTCCGTTCTAACTTCCGTTATAAAACTTTTGGAAACAGAAGCAGAAACGGATGTTAAAAACCATGCGGAACTTCCGCAGTTGCGGAAACAGAAACTGTTCAGTTGCATCACTACAAAAAAGCACCGAGCGCGGATGGCATCTCCAACCAAGCCCTCAAACACTTTCCGGAGCAGGTGATCGCCTTATTGGCCATAATCTTCAACGCCTGCTTCGAATTCAGCTATTTTCCCACCTCTAAGAGGCAACTGTCATTGGCATTCCTAAGCCAGGCAAACCTCACCACATCCCCTCCAATCACCGTCCCACCAGCCTCATCAAGGCCATGGGCAAACTCTTCAAATAAGTTATTCTCGTGCGCATGAGGCGCCATTTGTTTTCCACAGACGGCGACCCTCTTGTCATCCCTCAACAATTCGGGTTTCGTGCCAAACACTCGTGCCCCCAGCAAGTTCACCACATAGTGGAATATATCCTCAGCGGTTTTTATCCTCGTCGTCAAAAGACCATCGCGGTATTTTTCGACATTTCCGAGGCATTCAATAGAATTTGGCATGAGGGCCTTATCTACAAATTGTACGACTTAGGCCTCCCTGACCGCCTCGTCCGCCTTGTAGCCTCCTATTTGAAGGATCGTACCTTTCGTTTTAGACACGAAGGCACGCTATCCTCTACTCGTCAAATCAAAGCCGGTGTCCCTCAAGGCTCTGTGCTTGCCCCCCTCCTATATATACTATTCACCAACGACATCCATATCCCTATATCGAATGGTGTTAAACTAGCCCTCTTCGCAGATGACACAGCCCTTTACTCTAAAGGCAACTCACTGCCACAGATTCGGAACAAGATCCAAAAGTCACTTAACGACTTAGGAGCTTGGTTCCAAAAATGGCGTATTGACGTAAACCCGGAGAAGAGCTCCGCCGTTTGCTTCGAATATAAACGACGCCGTCTCACCGCCTCTCCGCCAATCAGGATGTTAGGAACCCCTGTCACATGGCAAACAAAAGCCAAATATTTAGGCGTCACCCTTGATGCAAGGCTCACTTTCGAGCCCCATATCAAGAAGGTAACTTGCACCGCACGATTTTACATAGGTAGGCTCAACAGCATGTTGGGTAGACACAGTAAAATGTCCCTCCGCAACAAGCGAACCCTATATAAAGTCTGCATACAACCTGTCATGACCTACGCGGCCCCCATTTTCGCACATGCTAAGCCCAAACTTATAAATGAACTTCAAATAGTTCAAAATCTATTCTGTCGTAAGACCACTAACTCACCCTATTATGTCCGTAATGCCGACCTACACCGAGACTCAGAGCTCCCAACAATCCAGCAGTTCCTTAAATTACTCTCTGAGAGATTTTTCAAAGCCTCAGAGTCCCACCCAAATCATCTCATTCGTGAGACTGCTGCCTATGCAGCCCCTATCCACACTCGCTATAGTGTGCGCAGACCGAGAAACTCTCTCTCGGACCCTCCCAACAAGCTTTCGGCTGACCTGAACTGCCTCCTGGCGGCTCAGGCCGAGCCTACATAACACATCCCTTAATCTGCCTTAGTTAAGCACACTTCTAAGCGGTTTTTCGGCCTTTCTGCCAAGGAGGGTCGCGTTCGTATACGGCTTGGAGATCTTTCGTCAGATCGGTAAGCCAATCCATAAAGGCGGTGTTTAGTGGGCAAAAGTCTCCACATAACCACGCAGCCGGCTGCGTGGTATGCTATGAGCGTTCACCGCCTCTCTCCCCCGCTTTCCGGAGGGTTGCCCATATTTACTTCGGGCGCAAAAAAAAAGAGAAAAAAATATGGTTGTCAATTCCATTAAAGTTGGCGAGAATTGAACTTGAATTTTTCAATTACAATAAAATTTATGGTGAGCGCTTATTCAAGCTCGCACGCACATGCACGCATTTGCGCACGCACGCAGACGTGCACACACACACAATCTTCTGCAATACGCTGGGCTTTCAAACTGGTATTCCTTGCTATCTTGGCCCCTACCAGGTCAAGCCGACCCCTGCTATGACCATTACCATAATATATAGGTACATAGATACGCTGCCGCGTCGCTCTACCAGTCTACCACGTAAAAACCTTAAAAGATGATAAAAATTTATTAACTAATATCCGCATAATAAAATAAAATAATGTGTCTTACCTAGTTTGAAGATGCTTACGCGGATTACTGCTAATAAATTTTTAACATCTTTAAAATAATGGATTTCCGCAAAGCAACGTCTGATTCTATTAAGAATTTTTCCATCGGTCATGGGTAAGTAAGGATTTACTCGCGTCCATTGGATCAACCTTAAGATGGAACCTAAAATTCGAACTAACTACCGGCAACTCAGTAGTCAGCCACTTTAACCACTAAATAACTCGACCATCATCGATGCCCTAAACACGAACCCCACGTCATTCATCACAGCGGACGAATGAGTTCTAAAAATCGTCCAAACAAAGAGTTTGGCAGACAACAATGGCGGCGCATTTGAATTCAATTCCTTGTGTTGTTTGTTAGCTTTTTGTTTTAACATCTAACTTATTTCAAGCGCTATCTGAATGGACAGGAGATGAATGTGGGATTTCCATTGGCTATGTGTTGTAATTAATGCGCAAATAATTTATGTAGCATGATTAAATTATAAGTCTACTGCTGAGCAAAGGTCTTCCCCACATACAGCCACACAGCAATGATCTGGATTACATTTGTATTTTACCTACTTCAAATAAAGAAATAATCTAAATTCAAACAAAGAAGATGTACGTTATCGTCTCTGAGCACTTAAATGGACATCCATCATCATCATCATCATCATCATTACAGCCCTTCACAAGTCCACTGCTGAACAAAGGCCTCCCCCAAGTAATGCCATAAAGCACGGTCCGGAGCCTCCTGCATCCATCGACTTCCTGCATATCTTACCAGGTCGTCACTCCATCTAGTGGGGGGTCGCTCTACACTACGCCTACCGGTACGAGGCTGCCACTCGAGAACCTTTCTTCCCCATAGGTTATCGGTTACATCCATCATATGGACGTGAATTCATAGCCTACAAATATTATACTAGCTCTACAAACCTTTTGAAATAGAATTAGAAACTTTTTTATTCAATCCTTTAACATGAATGTGTCGCTCTTATTATTATTATTTTTTTAATTTATTGTGTAAATTTGTTTGTGGTGTACAATAAAGCATATTCATTCATTCTTATAATGATATGGTTTTGACGGAGTCAGGTAAGGATATTGATGTCTTTGACAATAATATAAATAAGCTACGCACTCAAGTATTCCACTAATTCAAGCCAACTCGACATTAATTACCTATTTATCGTCTTCAATTATATCTAAAACAAAACTTTCACTATATTATCACAAGATTTGTTGAATTTATAAAATTGTCTTTTCGTAGATATGTTTAGGTATAATGCGTGTTCCAACTGAATGTAAGCGTTTTTCGTTTGTATTCCAGGTCACTAAATTTGTATAAACTGTTGTGTACATCCAATAAGTAAATAAATATATACTATAATAAAACTTATTGAAAGTCACTTGTTTTTAATTTACCACTGGTTCGAAAAATACCTCTGTCCTGGAAATAACCACAAAGATATCTAACGGGACATATTTAAAAAAAAACAGTTTACAATCATAATTTACAACACAAAATTAACTAGATACAGTTTGGTAGCGATCACCTCACTCCCAGGGGTTATTATTATCCTCCATAAATTCCTTAATATTATAATAAACTTATATAAACAATCTTTTTAGTAAAGTTTTTAAAATTCAAAAATTGACTTTTTAATACTTCTAAAAGCTATAACTTTTCAAACTGAAATCC